GAATCATACAAGTAATCTATGTTCGTTTTTAAAATTTGAGATTGCTATATATGCGGAAAAAATATAGTCTTGTTATATATATACATAGTAGAAAGATTTCAATTTAAATTAAATATTATACCAAACACATATCAAATGAGAAAATTTTGATGAAAAAAAATACTGTCCAATCATTTGCTTTTTATGACAGGACATACTGCTTTGCAGTACGACGTGTCAAAAATAAGTGAGCCAGAAGGACAATTCGGGAAAAAAAAAATTTGTTTCAGCTCTCTCACTTAATTAATTTGGTTTTGGTCTACCACTTTCAGTTTTTTTTAAAGAGTAGTTTACTCTTATTCACCTTTTGTTGTTTATATGTACGACTTAAGATGTGACTATATGTGCTTATTATACACAATTAAAGTGGTGGATATTTGTATAGTTATATAACTTATATTGTAGCTATTGTAGGCACAAGTTTAGTTGTGGCTATTTGTGTCTATTAGCCACGACATTGACTACTTGTTGACAATAGCTAAGGGCTTTTGTGTGATAAAATCATGCCTAAGTTAGATGCATCTAGAGTTGTGTATATTTTGTGGATATTAGCCATAAACATCATCGTGACAATGTCGTGGAAAGAGTGTCAAATTATCACAAATGTTCATTAGCTACGAACCCAGATCTACAAATAGGATTCGTGTCTGTCCGTTGCTAAGACCGTCTCCAACCCATCTCTATTTTCATCTCTAAAATAGAATTTAGAGTCAAATTTACTCAAACCCATCTCTATTTTCATCTCTATAATAGAAATTGTTATTTTTTTTCTCTATATTTAGAGGTGGAAATAGAGATTTTTTTTGTCAATCCTAAAAGGCAAGAAAAAATTGAATTTCTTTAAAATAGAGTCATACATTGGAGAGAAAATAGAGAAATGCTATTTTTTACTCTATTTTAGAGATAATTATAGGAAAATATATTGGAGATGCCCTAATCAGGAAATAGTCACGAAATTATGACGATAACTACAATTTATTTGTGAAACGACTCGACTCTCCCATACATGATTCCCAAGACAACCAAAAGCTTTTCTTACTCCGGTGCCGGTGGAGCGTTTGCTCGCCAACGTCGGATGTGGTCTCGTGCTCTCTGTTCACATGTCTATTCCTCACTTCAGTTGACTATGTTTCGCCGTTCGTTCTGCCTTTCCGACCAGCTCGTACTGGTTCTGATCGACGGATCTTTGTTGCTCCAGATCCAGCTTGCTCTATCGAAAGTCAGAATCTCTGTTTCCATCTTGTGCATCTGGGTCCACCACCGTCCCGCATCTCCGAGGGTCTATACTCAAAACTCCTTTGGTTACCTCCGAATTCCAGCACTCGAATCTTTCAGATCCACTGGATCTAGATCTCTCTCGGAAGGTCCCGAATAAACTTCTCACCGGTCATCGTCGACGACTCTCCTCCTCTCTCATCTTCATGTTATGGTGACTTCTCAAGTAATCGATGAACAAGCTGGGTTGTTGACTCGAGAAGCCTTGTTGCGATGGAGGTCAGTTCTGCCGCCGTGGCCGGTGAAGGAAAAGTCGGCGAGCAGCGTAAACCTAATGCTCCAAGCGGTCTCCCTTCATGGGCTTGGCCCACGAATTTGCTGCAAGCCCGTTAGCCCACTCTGCATCCCAGAGCAGCCATATTTTATGGGCTTTGGCCCATCTCCCTTAGCATGTTGGCCCAGGTTAGATATTTCCAAATTATATGCCAACACTTTAACGAGGTCTTCGAACTATCATATTATAGTCTCGCTGTTAGCTCTGGCTCCGGCGACATATCAGAAGACCAATTTTCTACTTTGGCCGCCTATACTGAGAGTCACCGTCCATGTGACTGGTCGAAGCTCAGTTTCCGGTGTGTCTCCTTCCTGAAATTTCTCCGGTGATGCTCTCATAAACAATACACTTGTTCGGGTCAACGCTATAGCTTCGGGAATGTATTGTCTTCAACCTCTCCGGGTGAGTTATCATTCGTGCTCATACTCTCCATCGATCTTACTGTTGGATGTGTATGACACTTTGTTAAGGATGGTACCGGAACCGTTTACATACTCTCCATCGACTTTACTTTGGGATGTGTATGATAACATGATGGGTTTAGTATCGGGATTGTGTTCTTTCTCTCCATTGATCTTATGTTTGGATGTGGATTACACCAATTTGGATAGCTTTTGGATGTCATCTCCCTATAGTTGCTCCGCCCTTTTATGGTCTTGTTATTTGGTGGAAAATTGCAGATTTATCTCCTGTTGGATGCTACAATTAGTACTTATCTCCATTCCTTCGGGTCCAACATCATCTTTCATTGTTCTTTGGCTCATGTACTGTCGCAGTTGTGACGCGCGGTCAACTTCAGGATTGGAAGAATGCGATATAGATGGTTCACTATCTGTATTTATTAAAGGCTCAACTAGTTCCGGTATCAATCACGGGTGTTAGTTTACAAGTTGTGTTCTTAATCTGCCACGGCGTCATTCCACTGTTTAGGCCTTATGTTGCAGAGATACAAGGTCTTCTCTATGACGTTTGTTGCTTATGTATAATGATGGCTTCTATCCTTTATTTGTATGCCCTTCGCTTGGCTTTTGTAGTAGCGATTTTAGTAGTCTTGATGGTTTTGTTATCATACTTTGTAAACAATTCTTCCCTTA